ATTTACCAAAGAAAAAAATGACCTCTACTTATATTAATAACTATTTGTTTTAATTTAATTAACTGATTGAGGAAAATCATTCCCAGTATGGTTGGTTGGTGTGGCTTTTATTAGTGTTTTGAAATTCGGATCGGATCGGTTGGTCAATCGGTTTAATTACCGTAGCAGCCTAAAACGGGCTAGGTTGACACCTAGGCTTGTTTGGACGAGCTAACTGTCCAAACCTGGAGAACTCGTTCAACCTGTTTCGCTCGACAGACCTAGCAAACCTGTCGGGCAAATTGCTTTAGGCTGGATGCACCGACACACGCTTTGTAACTTTTTTTTTTTGGCCCACGTCAAGGTTCAACAATTTCATTGACTCATTCCATTCTCAACTCTTTCAACTCTCAAGTCTCAAGTCTCAACTCTTACCACAACAAAACAAAATAAAAAAATCCATTCTCTAGTCTTTATCATCCATCGGTTCTCCTTCTCGGCTTCTCCACTCTTCAATCTCAATTCTTCAGTCTCCATCTTTTTTTTGGCAAAAAAGAAACCACGAGGTAATAGATCGGGTAGCAAATCGATGTTCATCGTCTCTCCAATAGATCGGTGTTCAGCAAGCAGCAATAGATCAGCGTTCACCCTCCAACCTTGACCCAATTTTAATTTATGCATCATTTGCATATTAGTTTGAGTTTTTGGACTTATTTTTCATATATATATATGAGATTTATTAATTCTGAAATTTGTAATTGTATGATACTTTTTAATCTATTTATTAAGTTTTTGGATTTGTATTTGATACAAATTGCAAGGAAAAATCTTAAAATAGCAGCAAAATTCTGTCGAAAAACCCAAGATTGCAAATTCTAGTGTTTTTGATTGACTCGGCCGGTCGATTGGTTGAACCGATCAGACCGACTAAATTGAGAACCGATGAGTAAACCCATTCAATCACCGGTCCGATTTTCAAACCATGGTTTTTATCCATATTTTACCGGCAGAAGGTGCAATTCAGCTCATGTACTTACAATGTTGTGGCAAATCAGCCCCTCTACTTTAAACTATTGCAAATCAACCCCTCTACTACTTGAAATCCGCAAATCACTCCTTCTGTTAAGGATGACGTTAGAAAACGTCATCTTTCCATTTGATTTTTGTGGCGCATTAACAAATGATGATGATTGGACAATGACATGGCATTGACTTAAAAGAAAACCACCTGACTTTAAAACAAATATTTTCGAGATTTTTTTTTTCACTCTTATATATTTAAACGTATAAAAAAAAAAAAAATCAAACACACCAATTCTTCCTTGTTTGTTTTTTTTTTTTTCCCATCATCTCCATTCTCACCCATCTCTTACCAGTTCTTCATTCCTTCTTCTTCTCTCTCATCTTCCTCCATTTATTTTCCCCGAAATTTTCAGGTTTCTTCCACTTCACAACTCAATGGGATGCGAATTCATCCTCTTCCCTACGTCCTTCTTCCTTCAATTTTTTATTTGGATCTTGTGCAACTTCCATTTGCCGTGATTTCACCGGTTGATATAGTTCTAGGCTCGTCATTTGGCAACAGTGGAGTCCTATCGAAACAAACCTTGCCAAATGGTGAGCCATCCGTTCGATCTAGACCCAAACTTACCGAACAACAAGACACAATCTACAATGAGCAGGTGAAGGAGGGAAGAAGGAGAAGGGAGAGGAAAGGATGGAAGAAAAAAGGGAGGAGGGCTCCAGATCTAAAACCCAAATTTGGGTTTTGTTTCATTTTTCTATTTTTTTATTTTTTAAATTTCTATTTGGATGTGTATCGATAAAAGTAGTAGCTTCGAAACCCAATAGAGTATTGGTTTAGGAGGGATGCGCAAAGATTTCGGTTGATTTGCTTGATGGGTTTTGGTTGATTGTTGATGCGTTGGGTTGATTTGGTATTTGTAGAAAGCCTTTGGATTGGGGTTTTTTTTTTTTTTT